ATGTGGTGCTGGAGGATTGAACCGCGGCCCCTGCACTTTGCTAAGCTTGTTCTAAGTAGGTGCTTTAGACCACTGAGCCATCTCACCAGCCCAATGTTGACACTCTTGAGATCTGGTTGCTCCCCACAGTGGACAGGCCTGCTCTCTCTGGCAGGGGCCTCCTGTGGTGTCTCTCTGTCTCTCAGCTCATCCCTGAGATGGTGGTAACACTGGGGTCTTGGCAGTTGCTGGCCGGTCTGTACTTGCTCTGGGTCTTCTGGCTGCCTGGCTTACCTTCTCTCCCTGGGCTCATCCAGGAGCAGAGTGGCTGGTGAATCTGCACCTCTACTGCTCCATGCCCCATGCCAAGGGAGAGCAAAATGTGCGTGTGGTGTGGTGCCTGTGGTGCCGTGTGGGCACACTGGGGCTGCTGTGTGGCCAGTGCAGGGCTGCTTGCTTGCACTGGGTAGGCACCTCTATAAATATTTTTTTCTTTTGCAGTACCAGGATCGAGCTCAGGACCTTGAACATGCCAGTCAGGCACTTATGCTCCTGAGCTGCCTCTCTGGTCCAAAGCTTTGCTCCTGGCTGCAATTTTTTTTTTTTTTTTTTTTTTTTTTAAACTGGAGATCAAACTCAGGCCCTTGCACTTGCCAGGCACTCCTGTTTTTTAACCAAACATGAAATTGGAGTCACTGACCACCCCCTGTTACTTCCCTCACTCTCAAGTCCACATGACCTCTGCCCCGTTCTCTGGCACTGGATTTAGGCAGTGGTTTCCACACCTCATTAGGGAATTCTTGCCATTCTCTAGTGAAACCTGAATGTTTTCCATCTTAAATATTGAGATACTTGAGTATTCTTAAAGAATAAGATTTTTTGTTTTTGTTTTTTGCTTTTGTTGCCATTAGTATGTTATGATCCATTGTATTTTCAATTGTTTTAATCAAACAAGAACTGAATTTCAGTTAAGTTCTCTGGTTTGGGGCCTGGGAGATGGCTCAGTAGAATAAGCACTTTCCTGGCAAGCACAAGGGCCTGAGTTCAATCCCCGGTTTCACCAAAAAAAAAAAAAAAAAGTTCTTTGGTTTTCAATACAACACCAAGAAAAGCTCACTTTGAGGTCAAGAGTATAAAAAGAACTATTATGCAATGTTTGCTTCTCTTTCTAGTCAAGTATGAAATATGTAGAAATTTAGAGTAAATAATTAGAATACTTGGGAATCAAGTGTCATAAGATATAAATACAAGAAATTTTCGTGTGGTTTTCTGTTTGCTTATCTTTTAGTTATCTATTAGAATATGTGTTGAGCTCATGGGCCCAGGGTCCTTACAAAATCTAAGTAGAAGCTGATGGAAATGGACACCATCCCAGACCACCCCCACCCCCACCCCCACCTCCCACTCTGATGCCCAGCCCTGCTTGCTGGCTTTGAGTTTCTTGGCAGCTTCCTCCATTTATTCAGCCAGGGCACAAGCTGTTCTATTAGGCTGAAATACTGCTTGGTCATCCTCTGGAAGTGACTCAGAGGTCACTTCTACAGGGAGGTCTCTAATTCCCCACCCTATGTAAGTGGGTGTAGACTGTCCTAGCAGCCTGTACTTTCTCCTCAAAGATTATATCACGTTTGTGCTGTGAGTGCAGGGACCATGTCTGATTTATTCAGAGTTCTTCCAAGTATTGAAAGCAGACTACACAGTAGGCAACTGCTAAATAGTATGTGTCAGTTAAACAAACAGGAGCAATCGAGTGGTGGCTAGGTGTGTAGCTCAGAGGTGGAGCATTGATTAGCATGCATGAGGTTTAAGGATTCAGGTTCAGTTCTAAGCACCACCAAGAAGAAAAAAAATGTTGAATAAAGTCAGTGTTTATTAAGTGCCAGGAAGAGCCCCACTTCTTTACTCCTCACTATAACCCTTTAGTGGACATTATCCCCATTTACCGATATGGAAAACTGAGATAAGAAAAGTAATTTACCCAAAGTCAACAAAAGACACTGAAGAAACTAAAAAATTTTCTCCCAGTGTCCTGATCTAGTCTGAGAATTAAATTGACATACATCAGTAAGAGAAAAGAGAAAAGCACAATATAAGGGGACCCCTCAAAAAGAAACAGAGACCCAAAGAAGCAGTTAGCATCCATTGACTTCACTGAACTGGGCAGATCAGTACACTGAAAATGCATGCAGACATCAGGCTAGTGTAATTAAGAGGGCAGAAAAACAGCAAGTAAGAGATGGTTAGTTTATCCACACTTACATGAGAATCCCAGCTTCTGCTGTGAGCCACAGCACTAAGGCCAAAGCAGTCTTACACCTGATGTTGTCTGAGTAATTTTAACTCAATCTGCCAGAGTAGTGTACTTTAACCCTTTCCATACAGCAAAGACTCAATCTAGGTCCCTTTTAATGCACGAGCCAGTGTTTCCTTTGTCTTCTGTTTTCTTTGTGACATGTAGTTCTCTGAAAACCACGCATCTCAGCATTATGTTATTATCTGTCATCAGAGAGATTTGATCAAAACCCACCAGTGAGCTGATGTGTTCAGGCATTTGTTGTGTGCCTTCTCAGCATCTATTCCAGACTTTTGTCCCAGTCTTGCCTTCATTAGGAAGATTATGAGCCTGTGCAATGAGGCAGGAGGATCACCATGAGTTTGAGGCTAGCCTAGGCTACATAGCAAATTCAAGGCCAACCTGGACTACATAGCCAGATCCTGTCTAAAAAGAAAACAAACAGGAAGACACACACTTCCCTTTCTGAGTCCATGTGCTGAGTATGCTCAGCCCCAGGGGGAAAGTGTTGAACTACAGTGAGCTGAGCAGCATAATCCATCACAACCACCTTGCGACTTAGTATTGTCAGGTGGGGCCCATTTGTGCTCATCAGGCCTTTCGCTGGAGTTTTTGTGAAAGTAAATTTATTCTTTTTGACTGGCCTTTGCCCCTGGAAGCAGGAAGATTGCCAGGTTTTTGCCAGCTTGTTAACCTAATAGGACAAAAGAGGAGGGCAAAGAGGCCCCTGAAGATCTGGCTCCTGCTACCACTTCCTGCACCCCCTGCAGCTGCTCCCAAGGCTTTTTGCCCTTCTGCTTTTCATCAGTTTGAGTCTATAAAGGCCTTTTTCATCATAAGCCTCTGTGCACTGAGAGGTCTATCACTTGCCATCGATGGGTCTGACCCACAGAGGATATGAAAGGTCGGGACACACTTTCCCACCCCTCCTCCTCTCGCACAGCTCAGGAGACCTTAGGTGGGGCTGCCCCGGAACCAGGAGCTGCGTGTTGAAGGGTAGAACCGAGAGTTCCCTTCTTCTTGCTTTGCACATTGCACAGATGAGAACTTTGCACTTAAACTTCTCAAAACATGATCCTTCTACTATTGCTTTTTCTAAAGTCTACTCAGCTGTGTTTGTACTTACCTCCCTATAGGAAGAAAAATCCCTGAGTTTAGATTAATTTTTAAAAATGAAAGAGTGTTGGGCTGGTGAGATGGCTGAGTGGTCTAAAGCACCTACTTAGAACAAGCTTAGCAAAGCACAGGGACCACGGTTCAATCCCCCAGCACCACATGCCAGCCAGCCCCGCCCCCTGGTGGGCTGAGCTGGCCACACACACACACACACACACACACATAAATAAAATAAATTTAAAAAAAAAAATGAAAGAGTGGCCTCACAGAGACATTTTTTTAAAAATGAAACCAAGATGGAAAAGATATAAACTATTTTATTTCCATTCCTCAAATGAATGTGAATGTACTAGTGACTTGACATTTAAAATCATACTTTTACAAAACAATCTCAGAAAATATACTATATTTGTTAAACTACATGCAAACTATTGAAGATCCTATTAAATCCTCTGACTGAAGAACCTGTCACTTCTTAGCAAAATCACTTGTGAGGATTTTTATGACTTCCACAATTGCAAAGAACAAAGAAATCACCTTGGGATGAGAGTAGAATTTGATATGAATAACTATCCACAATATACTTGCCTCCTTCTTTATAGATTCATGGATTGATTTTTTTTAAAGGGGTTCTTACATAGTATACCTAATTTTGCAAGCTTTTCCTAATTACAATGTCCTCTTTTCTTGCCTGTCACCTATTATAATTCAGTAAAGCATGTTGCTGGATAATAAGAAAAATGAACTCGAGAAGCTGAACTACCTTGAATAGTTCTATGGTTATAAGTAGTGTGTGTCAATATTGTCTTTACCTTAAGTACTAAGAGCTGGAATGCAGGAAAACAACTGGTAGGACGCTGGAATGAAAGACAGGACACTGGGCACACATACATGTGGCAAGTTAGCGTATTAATTCTAAAAACCAAACCAGTGACACTAAGAATAACAAATAGACTCAGATTTTTTTTCAGGAAATTGGTGCTATTTCAACCTGGATTTTCAATCAGCTTGTATTTCTTTGTTTAGTTTATGAATTATTAAGGTTTTCTTCCCTGCTTCCTTTTCAAAGTCTTATTGTGAAGTAACTTAACTCCTTCATAGTACCAAGGTCTGAAAGAGATGGTGAAATTAAAAGCTGATGGGTAACAACTTAAATAAGATTCCTGGAAAAATTTCCAAGTCACTGAATGAAGTAAGGTCTGGAGATAATGGTGGACTTCAATTATGAAGGTCCATTTTTTTCCTTTGAAGGGAGATTTCCAAGGTTTTGTGTTATTTGCTAATTTATTTCGGTTTGGTTTGGTTTTGATTCTTTGGAAGACGAAAGCAAAATGCTAACTAGCTATAACAGAAATCTTTAAAGATGAATTAAAATTTACTTAAAAACAAGAGCTTCCCTTTCCCTGACCCTGCTGTGGCCACGTGGCTGCAGGAGCTCTGCACTGGCCCCTGCGCTATTTCACAGCGAATCCGTAGATGTGAGGACGCACCAGCACCCAGGACAGCGGGGCCTGCACGTGCTGCAGCCGCAGCTTCGAGAAGCCGGCCCGCTCCAGGGTCTTCCAGCTCTCCCTGGTCAGGCTGCAGCCGTCAAACACAAGGTGCCAGGCAGGATCCAAGACCTGTTGCCAGAAGTAATTCCACGTTGAATGCTCTGCGGCCACATGCTCCATGAAGTAGAAAGCACCCCCCTGAAAAGGAAAGAGAAAGCACCTTTCAAGAATTCTGGCTTGGAGAAAACAGATGCAAGGGCCAGAGATAGAGCCTAGCAGCACAGTCTCCACCTCGCAAGTGCAAGGTCTTCAGTTTGATGCCCAGTACCAAAGAAGGAAACAGACAGATAAGATGACTGAAGCTTCAGTTTGCAGTGACCTCAACTTCCTGCTAAGACATGGCTAAAGTAAAACTTGGTAAGACACGGGTTAGGTCAGTAGTTTCAACTTCTGTCAAATATTATGCAGAGCTGGCAACTAAAGGAATTAGCATGTATTTTGTAGTCCAAAGAGTAACCCATAATAGCTAAAATTGACTGTCTGTCTGTTTGGAGACTGGGTTTTGCAGCGTAGTAGAGGCTGTCCTAAATTCACAATGTATCCCTGACTGGCCTTGAATTCACAGCGATTCTCCTGCCTCAGCTTCCAAGTGCTGTGATTATGGGCATGCACCATCAGGCCCAGCTACAATAGCTACAATGTAGAGCACTCACTGCGTGCCCACCGTAATGCCTGATGCCTGATGCTTGCGTGACGACTGACTGGATCCCTGCACAGCGCTACTGGCTGAGCTGTTAGTATCGTCACTCGTCATGGAGAGACGAGCAATGTGCCCAAAGTGACACAGCTAGTAAGCATCAGAAGCAGAATTGGAGCCTAAGCAGCCTGGCTCCACAGGCTGGCAGTGCCGCTTCTGCAACATATATATTTGGTAAAGTTCAAAAAATATAGAAAAGTTTAAGAAGAAAAATGATAGGCTACTATTCCATCACTTAGAGAAAACTGTTGTCAAGATTGATTGTGCATGCAGACTTGTATGTTTGCCTTAAAATTTGAACTTTATTATTTTTAATTCGAACTTTAATATATACATTGTTTTACTTTGGTATTTGAATATTATTCAAAGATATAATTTAAAAATCTTCTACACAATACAGCTGAAGGTGCCGTCATTTATTTAACCATTTTCATTTAGTTTTTTCTGATTTTTCAGACTGTAAATACGGTTATAGTGAACATTCTCACAAATTATAAGCATCTCTGGTTATTGCCAAGCAAGTAATTCTGATTTTAAAAAATGGAACTGCTGCCCCAGTGGTATGTGCCTCTTTAAAACCATTGGCATGAATCACTTCCATTAGAAATGTTGTGTCACATTTACACTGGCAACAGATGTCAGTGTGCACTTCCCATAACCCGTTACTCATCAGTTGATCTTCATCAGTTTATGGAAAATATGATATTTTGTTTAGAAAATACTTATTTAAAAAATAAAAATACTTAATTTTCTTATTTATTTGTTGGTACTAATGATAAAACCCACGGGGCCCTCTAAGTTACATACCCAGCCCGTTTTTGCTTGTTTGTTTGTTTTTAAATTCTGAGATGAGGTTTTTCTCAGTCCATACATTGCCCACATTGGACTCCAGGTTGGAATTCTCCTGCCTCAGCCTCTCATGCTGAGATTACGGGCATGCACCACCACACCCAGCTTTAATATTCTTCATTAGGTATAAACCTTTGGGTGAAGGTTACTGATTACTAGGATTTCTTCTTCCCTGATTTGTATGTTGATGTCTTTCATTATTTTTCTCTTAGATATACATAGGCTTTTTACCTACTGATTTTATTATAATAAAACTATACTATAAATCTTTGCCCAGTTTGCTGATTACCTTTTCACTGCTTTTTGCTGCTACTGTTACTTCTTCTATTCTTATCTTTTTTTTTGGCAGAACCAGGGATTGAACTCAGGCCCTTGCACTTGCCAGGGAAGTGCTTATTCTACTGAGCCATCTCCCCAGCCCCAACGCTTATCTCTTTTAAAACCTTTAACTCACCTGCAGACTGTCCTCAGGCACTGCCTCACCAGCCTACAGGAGCACCGTAGAGTTTTAGCAGGAGAGCTGGAAGCACTCCACTGGCCAAATGGCTATTTTATACATTTGTACCATTTCCATTAATATGTATATGATAAATGAAAATGTTGATGTATCTAAAAGCGTTATTGAATTCATGGTGAGATTTTGTTATGAGGTATTTCATTCGACCAGTGATACAAAGTGTAGATTACCACCCAGCGGGGAAGAGGGCCTGCTACTGCCAGCGGGGATGGTGCATACAGGCCAAGCACACGCACCACAGACACTGTTACATATTATTGGGAGGTCTCCAGAAATTTGTACCTGCCTACCTCTTCAGAAAGGCAGGAGACACTTGAACATATACTCATAAGTGAAATAAACCAGACACACATGTGTAAATATCATATAGTTTCCTTAGTATAAGAACTCAAAAGAAGAAATACAAATAGAAAGGTATAATACAAGTAAAAGGAAAAGCAGGATCTCGAGGACTAACTAATCAAGAGAGGGAAAGGAAAAGAGCTAGGAAACATGACAATGTCAAGACATACAGTTACATGTAGAAGATGGGCAAGGCAATGATCCTGAGAATCTCCAGAAGATTTTTTTTAATCCAGCAGTTAAGTGGAAAGATTCTCATTCTGACTAACTATATATACTGATAACTGTGAACTAAGCAACTGCACTGCAGATGGTAATCTGTAATAGTACTTTCATGCTTGGAGTGCCTGTCATTCTGGTATTCTGAAAGGCAGGAGACATGCCAGTTGTCATGACATGCCAGTTACTGTTATGAAGTCTCTCGGGTAGATGGTTGTTCAAAAAGAAGGGGGTGGTGAATGAAAGCAAGAGACAGGAAAAGGAATATTGTGGGATTGTCCTGCTTCAAGGTTGTATATGGTGAGATTTTTGGACTTATGTGTAAACATAAGAAGTATATAATTCTTTAAGCCTATTTTTAAAATATGTTCTAATTTTTCAATGTTTTTTATCATATTCTGTAGGGACTTAAAGTTCAACATATCAATACTTGATGAAAAATACCTGTTCCAGCTTAACAGACATGGCGCAGTCGATTAACATCACAGAGCTGAACCTGCCGCAACTAGAAATGCTCAAGAACCAGCTGGACCAGGAAGTGGAGTTCTTGTCCACGTCCATCGCCCAGCTCAAGGTGGTACAGACCAAGTATGTGGAAGCCAAGGACTGCCTGAATGTGCTGAACAAGAGCAACGAGGGGAAAGAATTACTCGTCCCACTGACGAGTTCTATGTACGTCCCTGGGAAGCTCCATGATGTAGAACACGTGCTCATCGATGTGGGAACTGGCTACTATGTGGAGAAGACAGCTGAGGATGCCAAGGACTTCTTCAAGAGGAAGATAGACTTCCTAACCAAGCAGATGGAGAAAATCCAGCCAGCCCTACAGGAGAAGCATGCCATGAAACAAGCTGTCATGGAAATGATGAGCCAGAAGATTCAGCAACTCACAGCCCTGGGGGCAGCTCAGGCCACTGCCAAGGCCTGAAAGTATGTTGTAGAAATGAAGCAGAAGGTGGAGCACACCTGTATTCCGTAATCCCAGCGCTCCTCGGGAGGCTGAGGCAGGAGGATTGCTGTCAGTTCAAGGACACCTTGAACTATACAGTGAGACCCTGTCTCCCAAAAAAGGAAGAATTGGGGCAGAGGGACACTATATTGGTTTGGAACTTTGTGGTCTTCTGAAGGGGAAAGAGTCTTGTGTTTAATGCTAAAAAATATGCCTGCTGGGCAAAAAAAAAAAAAATACTTGTTCCATATTATGCCTAAGATGTTTGATATGCAGAGAGATAGTGAGGTTAAGCTTAACAGCCTAAGTTGTATGGTAATAGCAATAAGCTTGTCTTCTGGATGGTTAACAACCTAAGTTTGCAGACCAAAATTAGATGAAAAGGGGGGCTGCAAGGAAAGCCAACATTTTGGCCCTAGCCTTCCAAGGTAAATTAAGATTCAGGACATATGCGAACTTGTACTGTAACGTCACGTAACTCAGTAGTGTCCCAAATTTTCTGATCAAGGAGATTATAGGGCCAAAGAGGAAAGTGATTGATGATATAGAGTGTGCCTAAGGAGAGTCACATGGAGAAAAAACATTCTCTCAGGCTTTCACAGAGAGCACATTGGCCAAGCAATGGCCGTGACTCATCCACATGGCTGACACTGACAAACAATCTAAGGTACACGATCTCAAGATAAATCCTGAGGGGATTTCACTGACCTTATCAGACCCAAAAGCTACAACTCTTGTTGCATAAGTCCTGCTTTACCTTGGTCTTATCCATCCAGCAGAAAAGTATAAAAACGAAATATAAGAAGTAAAGCCATGCTGTTATGTTGAGCTGTAGGGGACTCAGGTCAACAATTTCTGACATTGCCAGTGAAGTGGAAGACCCAATACTATTATGGACTACTGAACTCTTTTAGATTATTTTGCTGAATTAACACACCTATAATATTCAAATAACGGAACTTAACAAAAAAAGGGTATACAGATGAATGTCCATTTTGTATCTGTGTATTCAAAGTGGTTAGGATAGATATATAGTTACATTCTCTTAATCAATAGAGTGATTTGTTCTAATGGTGTTTGTAGATAGGATATCATGTCCGCATCTTGTACAGCAATTAACTACTGGGAGGAATGTATGCAATATGTTAATTATTGAAACTGTCCTACCAATTTGATTTGAAACTGTCTCATTGCTATTTGTTTATCAATAAAATTATGGAAAAAAAATAAAATAAAATTATGGGGAAAAAAAAGAAAAAGAAAGGCAGGAGAAAGGAGTCTGGTATGACCTCCAAAGACTGGGGGCTGTCACACTCATCTCAGTCGCTTTCACAACCTTACCTTGGCTGCCAGAGGGAGTTTAAGTGCAGCATTGAAAGTTTCCCCAGATTATGTGGGTAAATATAAGTGAGCCCCGAGTTCAGAAATGGAAAACTTGGAGTTTCCTGATATGTATGTATGTATGTATGTATGTATTTATTTATGTATTTATTTATTTATTTGGTGGAACCAGGTATTGAATTCAGGCCCTTGCGCTTGCCAGGCAAGCACTTATTCTATTGAGCCATCTCCCCAGCCCGAGTTTCTTGATTTAAAGGAAAATTTAAAAAGATTGATAGTACATGGATGAGAGGAGATAAAGGAGGAAGGAGAGGGTTGGATGGACAGGTTTTGCCCTCCAGGTTAAATATACTAAAGATGCCTGGAGTCATCTAGGACACTGACAGGAGTGGGGTCAGAGAGATCTGAAATAAATATTTAGATCTGGACACTGTGTCCATGTGGTGGTTGAAAACACTGGCAGATCTCAGTATATACATTTCTCGCATAGATTCGAGAAATGAGAGCCAGAAACTCCATGTCTCGGGGATGGGAGACAAAGAACAGCCTGAAACAGCAGTGGAAATGGTAAAGTCAGAGACAGAAAGCTCCAATAAAAGCACCATGGTGCAGCAGCAAAAATATTCTCACGTAAGAGTCAGACCTATTAGCTGTGTAACTTTAGCAAGTTTTTAAATTTGCAAGTCTATTTCCCTGTCCCTATGTAAAGATAATACCTACTTTAAAGAACTATTGTGAGAACTAGTGTAATAATTCCCCGGCTTCCACGCAGTAGAGAATGGATGGTTTATAGGAGCAAAGGAAGATCGCTGAGAATATGATCCTTTTAAGAATTAAATGCATTATCTGTGCTAGTAAATGGACCTGGGTTGTAGGGGTTTGTAGGAATGAGTGAAGCAAAACATCGGCTAGTGTGCCAGTGAGTTCTCAGGCTTAGGACAAAGAAAGGTGGCATTTGAGCCTGAGAATCCGTCCTTCTTATTCACTGACTGATACTGGCTTATCCTTGGGCCAAGAACAGGGTTATATTATACCTTTAAACCTATCTACAAATTCTTTTCTCACTGATGAACTTCCTCTATTTAAAATTAAAATGGGAGAACAGAAAAAAAAATGAAATCTTTTTTAAATAAGAGGGGAAGAGAAGTAGAAGGGAGAGGGGAATGAGAGAAAATAGGCAGCAAGATATGTCATGTAATGATAGATGCTAAATTAGGTGGGAATATGGTAGGCAGCTGGACAGGGCTAAGCCCTCCAGGGGTCAGTGCAAAGGACAGCTGTGGCTGGAGGCGCAGGACAGAGGAACTGCTCACTGTTCTTCCCCTGTGGTGAACAGCAGACACTGATGGCCTAAATAGGCACCCACCACCTTGGGGTGGAGGACCAAACCTTAACCCCTCCTTCCAGGAGGGCCATTGTCCGTCCCTTGTGCGCTTGCTTTGTGGCCTGTTTCCCCATTGGAGCCCCATTTAATCAGTATTTCCCTAGGGACTATACTTGTCTACTTACTGATTGACCATAGTTTTGTCCCACCTCCCACCCATCCTATGATTTGCCATTGGCTCAATATTACCTAAGTGACTATACTTGCAATCTTATTGATTGGTTATAGCTTTGTCCTACCTTAAGCCTGCATCACCTTGTGGCTTTCTTTAATAAAACACCCTTGAGAAAGGGGTTGGTGGGCAACCCTTCTGCACCCCCTTCTGTCCCTCTCAGGCAGAAGCTTTTTTTCTGTCAATCAATTCTTCCTGCTTTTTTCTTTTCTTTTTTTGGTACTGGGGATCAAACTCAGGACCTTGCACTTGCCAGGCAGGCACTTATGGCACTGAGCTATCTCCCTGGTTCTTCCTACTCTTAACCTCTGTTGTTCCAAGAATTTATCCCTCAATTTTAGAGAACATGAACTCTGTGTTTTGGACATCTAGCAGGTTGGAAGTTTCACTCCCCTCCTTTAAAAGGATTCAAATGTCAAGAAGAGCTTGCTATTGTGATTTTCCTCATGATGGCCAGTTTTATGTCCTTCAGGGGGACTTTTATGTTGCCTTTTCCTGTTTTACTCAGCCCAGACCTGCTCTGTGGAGCAGAGCCCACGTGTCTGTCCCTCTTCACTTTCACTTTTTCAGACAAACTTCATCGCTGCTTTAAAAAAGAAAAGATATACCATATAGAGATACAAATTCCCCATGAATGTTATC